CTGCTGTGTGACAGAAATGAAGTAAGCATCACCTGTTCATGTAAGATAAGGGCAAGTGATATATTGTAGGCAAAGTTAAGTTTTAAAACTTCAGTAGAGCATGCTTTTGTATGCTGAAATGTTAGGCTAGAATCTGGAATACTGTTTAGTTTTACTTCCTAAAAATGTAAATTAGCGTCTTTGTTCTGGTCAACAAACACAAAACAGCCTACAAGTAATGTGACAAGTATTATAACTGACTGTATGGCCAAAATGATTGGGCATTAAGAGATGATTAAAAGGAAAATTATATACTGTAGAACATGACTCATTACAGTCAGAATATACCAGTGAGGTAACGAAGAGAAAAAGAAAAAAAAAAAAAGTGTGAGTCAGGTATGCTATGTAATTCAGATCCTTTGATAGTATAATAATTATGGCATTTAGACATTATGCTTTGCAAATAACTGAACCTGGTGGCTGTCCCTGTCAGGCATTTCTTTCACAGGTAGCAAAACTGAAGAGCTGATGTTCTAAGCAAGTTAATTTTCCTGCTTTTTGCAGTTAGCAGCTGAATAGGGAGAATAGGCTGGACAGACTTGGTTCACAGTTCCTGACTCATCATCCTGACTCCGATATAGAATCAAGATATTCTAATAACGTGGCGTTTGCCTCTGTGTTATGTTTCCTGTGCTATGTTTGCTGATGTACATGGTCAGTGGTTTGCTTAATTGAGACAGGAGACAAGGCAAATTTTCAGATAAAAATTCAAATGAGAAATGTTGTAGATAACAACTATTATAATTGTGAAGCAGATATTCTGGTGCATAAAGGTTTGTTCCAGCTATATCAGTTGCTCTAATTAAAATATGTAACTTCCACCTACCAGCCTTGCTTCTCTGGACCTTAAATCATTTCAGTTTTAACAAAAAAACTTCTGTCTGAGGTTTATGTTTGTAAATTCAGCATTGCTGCTGGAATATGCTGCATCTCCACAGGAGGGCTCTGCTGGCATAGCTATGCTAGCACACACTGTGGGATGCTCATGGGATGTTCGCCTACTCGGTTTCTTTTCCGTTTCCCCAGTAGAAAAGCGGGTGTTGGAGCTGCTGGGTGCTGCCCTGTGTGCGGTGCAGCAGAGCGTTGGAAAGGTGGCTGCTGAGGAACTCCAAACTACAAAGATAGAAGTGCTCCTTGCGTGCCAGGCTTGTGTCTCCTTCCCCTAGCAAGAAGAGAGATTTGGGTACTCCTGTTAAAAACAAGTACATTGGAAAAAAAAAAAACAAACCAGGCTTTAATTTCGTTTTTATAAGCACACCTTGCAATTGGTACTTTTTAATAAATGTTAAGAGATTGCCGGTTACCTGTTTTTAGTGGGTTGAACTGGGGGGAAAAAATAATACTCCATGTCAGCAGTACATCTGATGTCTGAGACGGTTCACAGAGCTATAGTAAAGTTGAAATTCTGTGTCTATATGGAAATACAACGGAGAGAAGAGATAGAAATGTAAGGGAAGAACTTAAAAAGAAGAAAGCATACTGTGCTTGTCAAAAAAAAAAAGGGGGGTGTATTTTGGTTTTGTGGGGGCAGGAGGTTGTTTGAGGGGGGGTTTTGTTTTTAATATTAAATCCATCTGCTGAGGCCCACGTGGCAGGAATCGGAGCATTCTCCAGTGCATGCTGTGGAATTAAAATGCCTGGAAACGATTAATACTAATATATGCTGTTTATATTGCTGAGACCTTATCCTGTCCAACAGCAGTGATCGTGGCACTCGTGGAGAGAAAAGCAGGAGACATTTGCTGTGTTATGAAGCTTTGTCTGCCTTCCTCAGATGCTGAAGTTTCCTTTCTCTCAAGGGACACTGAAGTGACATCCAAGACACGGTTGCAACTGCTGTGACAAGCAGGAAATCCTGCCTAGCCTCTCAAAACCAGGGAATATAGATCTGTAGCTCTCCCACAAAACTTCTGAGTATTTGTATTTACATACTCTTGGTGTGAGTTTATAATATAAGGCAGCAGAAAGAAGGTCAGACAAGAGTAACCTAGATAAAGCTGTGGTTATGCAAACCGTGCTGCTATCTAGTTGACTCCTTATTCAGCTAAAATAAAACTTAGTGGGGATTTTTTGTTGTTTGTTTTTTTAAGTTATTTGGCTAGGATAGAAACATCCCCAAGGTTGGCTTTTAACCCCTGCAGGATCACAGCATTCAGCATCAACTGTCTGAATCATGAATGGGAGGAAAGGGAAACTGCTTGGAGGAAAGTAAGTCTTCTGTGTAAATTGAACAACCTCTAACATGTAAAAACACACAAATAGGTTTTGGGGCAAGAAAGTAAGGCATTAAGTAATTCTTCTTTTTCTTTGTTAGTTTTGTGATCTGGGGAAGTACCAAACAAATCTTACAGGTGAAATGATACTGGTTTTGGTTTATATTTCAGATAATGTTCAATACCAATCTTGCTGAAAAAAATGTGTTCTGTAAAACGCTTAGGACGTGTAGAATTGGAAACTAACACATCTTAAGTAAATGTAGCTTTATATTCATTGAACATCTTTTCTGCTAATTTATAACAAAGAGTGACTCTGGTAAGAACTGTTCTGGACTCTGCTGTAAGAACTCACTTGGCTGAGGGCAAGATCCTTACTGTTTCTCAGTAGCTAGCAGCCTGTATTTGGTGCTTATAAAAAGTCTTGTGATCCTCTCACAGTTACATATTTTGTGGTAAGTGAAACTTTGTGTCAGCTATGTATTGTTTTTCATCTTTATTTTTATAATTTTGGATTCCTTTTCTTTAAAGCAGTTAACAAAACTTGACACCAATATTTTCTCTTTGATATAGACAACATTGCTAAGTCGTCTGGAACGAATATTTGAAGTCTGTTTTCCTTCCATGCCTGTTCTTGAAATTGAAGAAGAAATCAGTTCCTTGAATCATTTGTTGGAAGCAGGTGAAAAGCAGATGACAACTGAGGAGACCTTAGCAAATACTGGGTAAGAAGCCACAATGCAAGAAACTTAAAATGAAGTAGAAACATGTCTTCTTTGGGAACTTAAAACATGTAGCAGTAATTCAACACGAGTTGTTTGCTTCAAGCGTTTTGAAAAACTATTGTGTAAAAATTAGCTATCCAGCAGAATGCTTGTTTTCTTGACTACGTATACCAGGAGTATTTCACTTAGCACATCAAATTAGCAGCATATCATCTTCTTTTAAGTGATGTCTCTGAGTTAATCAGAATGCGTCTTATTAGTTACACTTGATATCAATTGCTATATTTATTCATGTGATGATGAAGTCTAAGTAGGCCTTGTCCTGTCTGCTGTGGACATCATTTTCCAATTATAAGTCTGAACTATAATTGTTCTGAGAACACTGTGCAGTTTTAGTTCCCCTGGGTGTTGTGCTTGGGCGTAAGTTTAATTGGAATGTATAAGAAGTCACTTGCATTAAAAACTAGAATAAATATTCAAGGCTGCTAAGCTGTTATTCCTGTTGATAACTTGATTTGTGATGGGTTGCATAGGGAACTGATGGACGTGTGGACAGAGCTGCAGGATATCCATGATGCATATGGACTGAGATACCAGTGGGGTGGCTCCCACAGCAACAAAAAGCTTTTGTGCTCCTTGGGAATCGACACAAGAAATATTGTGAGTCTGTCAGTAAAACTTACTTTCTAAAAAATGGAGCTGCTTTGAATGTAGAATCAGGTGGAAGTCTTTTTGTATGAATGCTTGTCTCTTAATTGCATAGCTGCACTGAACATGGCTTTTCATGGCAGACCATCTGACAGCTGAACTTTTTATAATCCCTATTAATATTAAAAGTCACATTAGTTTTTAACCATTGTGTTATATTTAACGTAGTATTTATTCTCTGATATTAATCTTATACAAGTTATATAACATTGAAAAAAATATTATCACTGACACAGAAACTCTTAAGTAATTTTTTTTGTTATTGTTTTATCAGCTCTTTACAGGCAACAAGAAACAGCCTGTTATAGTACCCATGTATGCAGCAGGACTGGTAAGCTTTTTTTAGTGTTATTTTTTTGTTATAGTTCCAACAACATTATATAATGAAATATATTAAATGACATTAAGGACCAAGTGTGCTGAAAGATATTTTTGTAAATACAGTTATGGCTTAGGCATCAGTAGAAATGCTAGGAAAGAATCATCAAATGCACAATTTCCATTATGTGTGCAAGCAGATACTTTATTTTAAATGAAAAAAGTACTGATTTACTCATTTCATAAAGCAAGCTATTTATCTAATAAGGTGGGATAGCTAGTCTAAGCTCAATTTGAGGCATTTTCTAAAAAAGAAAAAATTGATAGAAGTAATGTATTAATGTGTATGCAGCAATAAAAAGTTCTTGTTGAATTTTAGCTATTAAATATAAGATATAGATGCAAGAATGTCAAGTAAAACTTGACACAAGAAACTAGATCATTAAATAGTTGTCAAAAATGACAAAGGAACATTGAAACTAATCAAAACATAAATTCACATCAGCAGTTGTGGAAAACCCCAGCACTAAGGCCAGATGCTTCTAAGGAAGGTTAAGAACTGCTAGATAGTTACGGTATTCCATGAAATGTGTATACGAAGTTTTCTCAGCACTCTCGAGCATTCCTCTTTGTGCAACTGTTTCTCTGACAGACTGTCAATTACTTGATTGCATCTCAATATCCCTAGGTCAAGAGAGATGTGTGGTAATGCTTTGCAGTGTTATTGGTATATTAATAAAGGACCCACATATATATTAGGCTATTTATGCATACAAAAAGCGTGTATAGCCAGTATTGTGTTGCCCCAAGTGCTAGATAAAAATAGCAAGCATAATTTAGGTTTCTGTAGATTGAAGGAAACTCAAGTAACCTAGGGCAGTAAGATCAACTGTTTTCACTTAAGCTGATATTCTGCAATTCCTGTTTGGCATTTCAGAGACTGTGTGATGTCTGCAGTAGTAAAAAGATTCAGAAGATAAGATTTGCCATTTTTGCTAGTCTGAGCAGAATAAATATGGTTTTTTCTGGAAACCTATGTGTGTACAAACACACATAGATTTATATCGTCATTCGCAAATTGAATATAAAAGGATTACAGTTTTCTTTGGTATATATTAAGCCAATTTAATCTGTAGGTTAATTTTGTAGAGTGACTTCTACAGTCAGTTTCTAGAGCTGTTGTTTTCTGATGCATCAAGGTTAGCTTATGCACTTCTTTGGATGTAAGCGTGGTGTTCTGATAGAGAGAGATAAAAGATCTCATAGCAGTTGCTGTTTTCTTCCTGTAACATATTTGCGAGCAAGACTATGTTTGTACGCAACACGTGCAGTTTTTTGCAACAGATTGTTGTTGCTGATTAATTATCTCCTAAATTTTTTATATACTTGTGCACACAATAGGCTGGATGGAGATGATGGTAGGAGTAAAGTGGCTTACGGCTTTCTGTTGTCACACTGCTTCATGTGTTTCTCCACTGTCCAAAAGACTTGATTTAACTGGTGGTTAAATTCTAAGCTCCCCTAACATGGTGTAGAAACATCTGTGGGACAGCTGATCTTGGTGGCTGACTTCCAGAAATTATTTTAAAATACACTAGTTGCAAATCCAATGGTTTTATTTGGCGGTTTCTGTTCCCATACCTCATTGTTCTGAGGTGGTTTGCGTGTCTCTGTGCAAACTTTAGTCTTTCTGTAGATCTCTTTCTCACCCCCAATTTTATTCAGGAACACCAGAGATCTCAGACTTTTTTTTCGTAGTACTGTTTAGCTTTGAACAGTTTGTTTAAAATTAAAAATGTGGTTTTAAGGTTTTAATTATTTTCTTAATTATTTTAATTATCTTCTTATTTCCATGTCAGTAATTATTGTTCTTGGTATCATTCTGCAAACTGATAATATGACTTGTTTCCTCTGAGTTACTTAATTGTTGAAATGGAACAAATGCACTTGTACCTTTCTGATGGGCCACTTGATATTTCTGGAATAGTCTACACACAGGTGGGAGGAGAAGACGTCACCTTGTCAAGTAACTGTTTCCTCCAGCTTAAATTACATTACTGAAAGTTGAAAGCAAACTCCAGCTAGGCACTTCAGTTTCTGTTATTGGCTCTAAAATGTTTCTTAGGCCTAAGGAACCAGGATGATTCTCTCTCCTGCTCCATCTCCTTCTGTCCCCCTCATGAAAGTGTCTGGCTACCCAGATGTATGGTTACCCGCAAGCCCCTAGTTGAGGGTAGTACTACCTAGTAGTGTGTTTTCTGCAGTTCTTGGAATAGATATATAGATATATATAGAGAGAGAGATATATATATATATACACATACACACATGTGTGTGTCTATGTGTGGTTTTGTTTTTTGTCTTTTGGGGTTTTTAAAATGTATTTCTTTATTTTTTTAGGGTATGTTAGAGCCTACCAAGGAACCTTTGAAACCAATATCTGCAGCAGAAAAAATAGCTTCAATAGGACAGACACCTCCTGTATCACCAGAGATGAACACATGTACATCTGATCAGTTCCAGGTAAAAAAAAATAGAGAGAGAAGGGGGAGGAAAGAAAAAGAAAGAATGAGGGGAAACAATGGGGTGACTTGCCTCTTCCTTCCTATTTTAAATATCTAGATGGTGTGTTCAAAGAGACCTGTATGTAAAGGGCAGGTGTTCCTTGTATCAAATTGAAGTCCTGCTCTTGGATCTACTTTTCATGTGTGACTGGGAGGGATTCCCTATGATAAGACTGTAGCAGTTGGTGGCCAGCATTTCAGAGTCCTGGTGGATAGTTAGTGCTATACAACAAGCTGCTCCAAAAGGCAGTGGAGAGTTACTTCCACAAATTTTAGATGTAACTTTACAGTTGTCCTTCCTCTGGCTAACGTTTTTCATCTTTGCTTTTTCTGAAGCTTATTGTAGGAGTCTGATACAAAATGAGTTCAGGAGTGAGCTTTTGAATTCCATGGGTTCTGTTTTGTTCTTGTTGTTTTGATATTATGATGTTAGAAAACCATGTATATGCCATGCCTGTTGCAGTGTGCGTGGCTGGCAACTAGCTAATGGGATAGGCAGAGACATTTCACTTTCAGTATCAATAGAGTGGTACTCAGCACATATTCAGAGAGTCAGCTGTGTCCCTTCTTAGTGCCGGTCTTGTTTAATCTGCCCAGCATCTTCAGTTACCTACCATGCTTGTGACTTCTGATTAAAGGCATTCCAAAATGAATTACCCTTGTGCTACACCTAACCTTAACACTAGGTAGTTCTGAGTATAGTGACTTCCTTGTGCTCTTTGCTCTGCCATAGTGCGGAGCTCTAACTGGGACATGCTTGTACCAGAGGAGGAATCTTTTTTTTTTCATTGTGGAATAGCAGTATGTCAAGTGGGCTCAGAACTGAGGTTGTTTTATATAGTAATATACATGTTTGGTGATGCTTCCTATGCTGCTTCTCACAAATGCTATAGTGGAACTGAGCAACTTAACTGGGTGTTAGAAAAGGTAACAGTAATGATTATTGCAACCAGTTTGAGCTGAAGAAATCACTTGTGTGATTTCTATATATGAACAAAGTAGGAAAATTTCACTGGTTTTCTGCAGTGTTCAAAGTTCCCTTTTTTACAGAGGAGAAAACATAGATTAAACCATACGCTAAACATAGCATAGAGAGCTGCAAGAGCCTGAAGTAGCATCTCTGACATGTGCCATTTTCTCAGTTGCTTGGCAGTCGTAGTGCTGAGTGCTGAAAATAAGAACCTCTACTTATCGAAGTCTCTTCCGCGCCCCCCCCCCCCCCCCCACCATCACTTTTTTTTTTTTTTGCGCTCCTCGCC